CAAAACCTTAACCGAAAAATCCCCGGGTCCCGAAAATTCCCGGAATTTTCAAAGGGCACCCATGTCATCATTGTTGTGTTGGAACCTTAAAATCCAACCCGGAAAGCCCAAACCTCAATCCGGACAATTCCTAAAATTCCCGGAATTTTCAGCTCCGGGTAATTCCCAAAATTCCCAGGATTTTTAGACAAAAAGGGTTAAAATTCCCGGAATTTTCAGGATTCCCCTGCAAGGCCCTCACAAGCAGCCAAATGGACCGGAAGAGGAGGCGGGGCATCCGACAGGGCGGCCGCAGAGCGAAAATAGGGGTCGAGCCCGTAGCCTTTTATGGGGATAATTCTTTTTCATTTTCAATATCTACGTAATCCTACAAATGCAGCCATTATATAAGTATCAAGATTTCAACGTCATCAAATGACGACTCTCCGCCTCAATCCCCGCTCGCGACGCGAGACTTCTCCGCTTAGCCGGACGCGATTGCGAGACCATGACAGCTTCATGCCACAGACCCTGTCGCTCCCCAAGACTCCACCGCGCGACGAGCGCCTTCGTGAAATCAAGAGCTTAGCCTCACCTCTGCCCCCTCTCTTATTCTGATGGAGTGTACGTTTGTGGCATCATTTTCGGATGTGATTAGTATGCGACTTGGGCTCGATATATTCGGAGAGGGAGATGTATGAAGCAAGGGCACAAAAGCGCCATCCATAATTGCTTGCGCAATACTATCTTTAAGTACGTGCGCATGGCTGGGTTGAAGCCTGAATTGGAACCCATTGGTGCCGGCCGGCGGACGTTCTTGTCTCGGCCCCACCTATGGTGAAATAGAATTCTTGGCCCCGCATCGCCTTGGATATTGCGGTAACTAGTCCTTTTCAATCCCAAGCACTTGCCGGCGCCGCCGCTTCGCCGTTAAAGTGCTGCGATTCGTTTTCTTCTCCAACATTGCCATTGCATTTCGAAATTGATTGTTTCAAATCCTGTTGGGGAGAAGGGGGGATCTTCCCTTCCTGGGAGGAGGGGGTGGGGGGTGGAGAACAGACTAGTACGTAGGCCGCGCTGTGCGGTGTGTTTATGCCGACATGCACCAGTCGGCATTGGCCGACTTGCTGTACGAAGCAATCCGAACTGCACGTTTTGAAGCGGTTCTCAATCTCAATTCATTTTCTGTATATCGCACAGCCCGCGCAGAAGCCAGATGGATGGCGCCATGAGCGGGACACATGCTTCAGGTTGCTTCATGACAAGACCCTTCCGACGGCTTCATCGGTATGCAACGGGCAAGTTTAAAATGGCAAAGGGATGGCATAGCTCATTCCGACAAAGAACAATAATACTGACACGCGTTCCTATGCATAAGATGCCACTTGTCAGCTATACCACACAGACGGAGTGGACAGCGCCGCTTTCAATTTGAAAGGGCCTCTCCACTGAGACCGGTAAGACTTGCGTGAAGGACCAGGTCATAGTCGGTCACAGTTGGCTATCGGTACAAAGAGATGTAGCCCCGTAACCATATTATAATAAGAGCACCCCTGTTTTGGGTTGGCTACTTGTAAAGGGAACCCATAACCAAAAAAAGGGTAAAGGGCACCACTGGGCTACTAAGGTACAAAGATATGTAGCCCCTGCTCAAGCATCCTCTGGTTGTCTGCAGGATGCTTTACGGGGCCACGCGCCGCGCTGCCTCAGAACCATGGCTCGAATGACTCGAGTGCCTGTCCCGAGAAGGACCTGAGCATGATGGACAAGGGTTTAGGGTTTCGGGTTTCGGGTGATACCCAGGATACCCTGCTTCTTCGTTCTTGATCCTAGCACTTTGCATCCTCAGGGCATGGGCGTCGAGTAGACGGTGCAGTGGAGGAGCGATGTTGAACCTTCAACAGCACCCCAGCTCTCCCAAAGGACAAAGTGTAAGAGTCACGGACGAGCACAAGTGGCCTGGGGCGAAGATCCTGGGATGTTCTAAGCACCAGAGTACGCAGCAGGGGCACGCCGTTCCGCTCTTGTGATATTCTTGCCGTTCATGTGAACCAAGTCACGTGTTGCCACTTTGGCAGATGACAAGGTGGCAGCAGAGATAGGCCTCGCTGGGCCTCGAATCCAAAGATACCCAGATGATGACCACTGCAATGTGCAAGGAATGGGGGCGGCGCTTGCTGCACCTTCTCTTCGGCTGCGGCGATAACTTATGACGACCAACCCAAGACTGTCGCAGCGCATCTGAGTTCCACACCGTGAGCAGAACCTGCATGCCTGCAAGAAATGCGGATGCTGCCAGTCAGCAGTCAGGCATTTCCTAGGAAACATAACACGCTACTCTGAGGTGCAGGCCCATCGTCTGGTTTGGACCATTTGGGCACATCACCCTTCGTCCTGTGGCCGTAGCAGCTTTCCAACGGTCTACCTACTAAGGAGCCATGCCTGCTCTCGGATAAAGACTTTGGCACCACTTTCGTTGGCCTGACGCGGAAGAGGGGCCAGTGATGGTCCCTCTTCGGTGCCCCGAAACATGCTCCGAAGACCAGTCACAGAAGCTCCAGAATGGAAAAACAGAGTTGAGGGAATGTTGAGAATACTTCCTTTTGGGGTTCGGCATCGCCTTGCTATCTCGGCCGTTGAAGCAGAAACGCACCTATTCCGCCCCTAGACCAGCTCACAGAACTCACAGAAAGACCAGCCGCAAATAGCCGCACACTTCACTTTCGCATCCGTACACGAAAGTTACATCTATGAGCTTGGAGTCAGGCACGCTGGCGAGGGAGCCCACACGGGAGGACGACAAATGATCCTGGCGCATGGCCACACTGGAAGCCAGGTGCAACAAGTGCGACCCAGTCTCCTCATCCAATGTAGGGAGTCGTTGGCCTCATCACCACAGCCATACAACCGGCGAAATTGCGTGAGGGGTAGGCGCGGTTGGCCTCTGTCAGTCCTGCATTGCTTTCGTGGCTCTTGGTGTTTGTGTCTGAGCTTGACGCGTTGAAGCACTGTTGAAGCCGTCCCAAGTTTCTGAGACAGCCTCGCGTTTGCCGCCTGTCCCTGCAGCATGAGGAGAGACTGACATCTTGTTTTACCAGAGAATTGCGGGCTCCACTCAAAATGTTGAAAATGTTGAGAAAGAAAGCTTCCGATGCCACCTGGTCAATGAAATGCATCGACGCCAAGGAGTCAGTGCCACGGAAACTGGCAAGAAGAGCATATTGCAGGCTTCACATACGACACCAAGGCAACACAACCATACAACTCCGGCAAACAGCCAGCAGCGCTGAACACAATGGTGCCTCGACAAGCAAGAAGGTCATGCAAACGTTCAATCTAAGGAGAGGTCATGTGGAATACTCCCTCCCCTCGTCTGCGGCAGCAGAGAGCGGCTACTGTTTCCATCGCCGTACCGTGATTATGTGACCGAGCAGCGGATGCGGGCGCTTTCCACGCAAATTGGCATCCGGTACCTTTTCAGGGCCATTTTCAATCCCATGCTAAGCTATGAGAGTACTATCGGACATGCTGACAGCCACACCAAAAAAGCATTGCATGAGCACTGCATGAGCGCCTGTCTGACACGAGGATGAGATGCACCACACGGCATGCGACCATCTTCAGTTGGCCCCAGTGTCCAGAAGCCGGCAGTCGCTTTGCATGCGTCCGTGCGGCACAGAGTGGTCGTTACATTTGTGCATTCTTTGTGTTCTTCAGATGGTCAAGGTCAAACATGTCCCGGTCGATTGGCGACGATGCGCGCGCAGCAGGCAAGCAGTAAACATGCGCAAACTCAGATTGCTAGGGGCCTCCGGTCCATGGGTAGCCCATGGCGGAGGTGCTGCACGAACAGGTGTGGCCTGGGCAGACTACATTAAGATCAGCAGCTTCTCTTTTGGAACAAGTTTAGCAGGGTTAGAGGAAGCTCGTAGAGTTCCTTCCGCGACCTAGTCATCCCGGGCCGCACTAGGAGTCTAGGAGTTGCAACGTTGCAAGCTGCTTCTTCGGGTTGGCAACTTGGGCAGAGCCGCGTTGACACCGGTTGTCTTGACAACGTTAGCAGGACTCCACAGCCTCTACGCCGAGCAAAGATCCCTGATCTAAAGCAAACATGTCAGCAAGAGGCGTGCCCCCTGAGAACTCTGCTGTGCTGCTTGCACCTGGTGGATCCATGACATTGCGCTTGTGAATGGCTGAAGACCTCCACAACCTGCCTGTGTAATGATAGTGCTGCATGGCAAAAAGTCTTGGAGGCCAGCTGGCAGCTTGATGGCCTTTGGAGGGCTGGTAAGGCCTGAGGGGTCGGGTGCACTCAGCTGAAAAGGCGGGAGCAGACGCAGTCTCTGTCGAGTGCCTTCCTCGCGACACCACGGCACTCGGGGTCGGAGTGGTCACAGGCTGCTTGCTTCGAACCTGGGCCGGCATTCCATCTGCTTCGGCGCGTGCCCGTGCGTGCCACAGGCTCAAGATGTCTAGTTCAGGCCACTGACAATTTTGTGACAAGCAGCTCCTGCCATACCAGGAGCCATGGGCAACTTGTGGACGCACTGCTAACCTTGCCATGGACAGTATGTGTGCCAACACAATGCAACTGCCTAGCAGCCACAAAGAATCAAAGAGTCACCGGAGATGCCAAGCATGAGAAGAAAGCTTTCCGAGCTCAGCCGTCAGCAAGCACCGCCAAGGTGCGCCGAGAGGCCAGGCATCCTCCAGCTTGCAAGTTAGTGTAAAAAAACTCCAAAATCTTAGGGTTTAGGGTTTAGGGTTGCAAGAATCTGATCTGGATTCTCCAACTGGGCTTCAGGCTCTTCCATCATCTTCATCAAGCTGCTGGATTGAACCACAAAATCTTGCAGCAAGTGGCGCGTTCGTCCTTGCGCTGTACACTTCACATTGGTCCGGGAAGGACCACATGAGTCTGCCATGTTCTACTCTTCTGGTGCTGAGCGCAACCTTTGATGAAGTGGCTCAACTGTTGGCTTCTTGCCTTGACTTTGGCGTTTGAAGTCTGAATGAACCAGCTAGCAGATGCCGAAGGCTATGCTACAATGCCAGCCACTTGCTACTGCACGACAGCACGTGCAGCCACCTTGTGCCGGCGAGTGCATTAATTCAACGCGCCTGCCTGTACCGAAAGGATCGGCCACTGCGTTGGATCTTTCCTGACGCCGCCCTTCAGGGCTTAAGATGCTCCGGCACCCACACGGTGGCGGCTCTGCGCCGTAGAGGCATCGCGAAAGTATACAAGAATGATTTTTGGACAGGTGAAGCTGCTTCATTGACAGCGCACCGGCTGCTTCGTCAATGCGCCCGTGTAAGGACACAGGCACTTGACGCAGAGAGCAACACGAATTCAGATCCCACGCCTGCAGCAGCTCAGCTTTGCCATGACTGGTCGAAGGAGACAGGACCTCAGGTTTTAAGCATGCACTTGATGGACCGAGACAAAATACATCACAATGAGCAGGCCATGTTGCCATGTTGTCCAAGGAGCCGCCGAAACCAGCTGGATTTGGCTGAAATGCTGAAGGGCACGGCAGGCCCATGCTGCCCGGCATGCTGGAGGCATGCGGAAATTCCGCAGACACTGGCGGCGGAAGCCTGCCATGACAAAGCAAAGCCCAGTTCGAGCTGCAAAGTACTCATTTGGGGCGGGGGGTAGGGGGGGGTAGGGGGGGGTAGGGGGGGTTTTCTGCATGCCATCTTCGGAAGTGCCAAGACGCAGCAGCACGAACTGGTGGGGTCCCCCGAAAGTAGGGGACCTGATTGGGGTCCTTTTTTATCAGGGAACCCTACGACTTGGGTCCCCTATCTGTCGCTAGCTCCTTCAAGCCGCCTCCAGGTGGGCATTTGCGGAGCAGGCCACGATGAGCGCTCAGGTGGGTTGTTTGGGTTGGCGTGCAGTTGCGAGACGTCATAGTTGTGGTATGCTTCTCGAACTGCCTCCGCACCCAGAAAGTGTGGCATCCAGTCGGGGGAGTCATCCCTCATCGCAGAAGCTCGAGGGGACTGTTGCAGAGAGCAAGGGGAGCTCTGTCCGCTGGGACTTGGCCCCCAGGCACCCTGTGCAGCAAGTTGGCCCCGGCTTGGATTTGGGAAGTCTGGAGTTTCCCGAGTTTCCCTTGGTGCGGTGGAAAGGCGCTCGACCTGCCAGCTCCACTGACTTCCAGTTGATCCCCAACTTCCGGGGTAGCTGGAGCCCGGAAGCTTCGAGCCGAGATCAACTGGGTGGAGCGGGCGAGGCACGGATCCCTGTGTGCCAGCGTCTGACGCGGCCTGGGTAAGCATGTTCTGCTCGAGCTCCCGGTCGGTGGGCGGCAATGCCATGTATCTGTGCTGCGACAGCTTCCCTTCCTCGCGCTTTCGCGAGCGAGAAAACTGGCGCTTCCACCCTTTGGGGCACACGCGGCCCCTCCGGAAGGCAAAGTACGCAGCAGCAATGCACAAACAACATGCCATCAGCAACAGGAACCAGAACCAAAAGCTCGTGAAGATGGTACCGGGAGAATCAACATCCAGCTCAGCAGCAGATGGCTCGGGCTCATGGGGGAGGTTGTGGCACAACTGTGGCCCTGCAAGGGAATCTTCGAAGAAGACGGGGGTTGCAGACTCTCCTTGGAGGCTGCACATCTTTGATGTCCGCAAATAAGAGAAGAATCGGCAGCCCTCTGTTTGCGTGCACATGATTTGGCAAGCCTTGGCGGTTGTGACCGCAGCCTGTTGGGCATTGAGATCGGGCGTATATCGTGTACCGAGAATAAAGCATTGCGAGTCTGGGACCACCGCCACCTCCACCTTCATCTCTGCACCTGGCCCTGTGTCGGCTCGAAGGGCCGTGAGGAGCTTCTGGTGCGCCTTGCTTTCATGGGCAATCTTCTCCATGTCCCGCAACTCGCCACCCGGAGGTACATCTACGAAGAAGCCGACTAAGAGCTCCCCACCAGGTTCTGAGCCAAAGGACAGGGAGACCTTGCCCGGGTTCCCGCGCATGTCCCGGATGTCGCGGACAGGCATGCCCGCGGATTTGGCAAACTCCTCTGCGAGCTCCAGCTTGAGCAAGTCCGCCTTGCCCTCCAAGCTGGAGGTTTCGCCAACATCCTCGAGCTTCATCTGCACTTGCGCCACGCACTTCACGGGGCCGGAGATAAGACCCGACGATTCCCTCCAACCGGCCTCCATGTCCAACATCCGGCACATGCCATCAGTGTTGTGGAATGTGAAATGAGCACATCCTGGCGTTCTGCGGCACCGGGCCTGGCAGAGAGTGAGATTTGCCTGCGTCGAAGAAACTCCGACTTCTTGACCTGAATACTCAACGTCCCTGTACAAACATCGTGCGGTCGGCGCTTGCGCCTTTGAAGCAGCCACTGGTGCTGCAGAAGCATTGCTGCCCGGCTTAGCAGTATGAGCCGCAGCTTCTTCCGCCTTCTCTGCATGAGCGGCTGCGCCTCCAGGTGGCTTGTTGGCATTCTCCGGCGAACAACTGAAAAATATCGATGAGAACTCTTGCTGCGAGATCTCTTCGTCGCCATTTGCGTCTGCGTAGACAAAGGCCTGATCTGGGGAGGCCTTGTTCATGCCTGCTTCTGGGCGATAGCTTGCCCAAAATGATGTCTTCCACCTGTCATAGTCCACTGGGGCTTTGAAGCCAAATTCGACGCCACTTAACCTTGGCTTCTCGAGCAGGCTTCCGCCCGTCATGAGGACAATGGTCTAGGCAAAGACAAGAATGCGAAACCAGAACAGCAAGCAATAGCCTAAGGCCTAAGCCACATGCCAATATCCATAGCCCTCTTTTATAACCTGCATCTTATAAACCCTAAACCCTAAACCTAAACCCTAAACCCTAAACCCTAAACCCTAAACCCTGAGGAGTTAAGATATCTGCAAGCAAAGCACGCGTCCCAGGCCTCCTCCCAAGTGGTATACTGCTTGCGAAGAAGCTGGCACCAAGCAAACATTGAAAGGTAAATGCCAGCCAAACCATAGGCAGTCTCAAACCTGCGCCGACCCTAAACCCTAAACCCTTAACCCTAAACCCAACGTGATGCTTGCAAGAGAACCGACTTCACTTAGGGAAGAATCAGTCAGGGCAACTTTCCTTGTAGCAGCCATGCTGGACAGCTGAGAACACTATCATAACATGAAGCTCAACTCATGTCCATCTTCAGATCCTTTTAGTAAACTGTGAGTTAGCCTGTCACCTGTACTCTTCTTAAAAGCTTTGCAGGGTTCAACTTAGCTGCGCACTTTTTGACACACGTCTTTGGGCCCGCAGCCTGTTTAGGCTATTCCTGGTAGCAAGACCGACAAACAAGAAGACAGCAGTGATCATAATATGATTGGCCCAGACACTCAGCTTTCTGGACATAGCCATCGGGCGGAGTCCCACCTTGGGCCAAAATCAGGAACAGTCACGAAGAAGAAAGCATGTCCGGGCCTGCAACAGCCAGTGCTTGCGGCTGACTTTGCAAAGGCCAAAAGAACTGGGAGTACATCTTGCCGCCGCGTGTCCCAGTGAGTCAATGAACCGAAATGCTTCCCGCCAACCAGGGTGCACCAGCGCTGCCAATGGCCAGGGGGCCCAGACATCACCGAATATGTAGAATGGCACCTGGACGCATGGATCCTTGCTTGTAAACCCCGAAAGAACCTGAACCCAAAGATCAGATCCAAACCATACAATGTGCAGAAAATAGTTGGTAATGGATAGTAGACAATGCCATAGATACTGGGCAATAGACCATCGATGATAGGTAATAGAGAACAGAGAACAGAAAAAATAGATAGTATGCAATATATAATGTATAGTATATAATAGATGGAGGAAATCGAATGTGACAACTGCGCAATTTTCTGCGTTGCGGGCTGTAAGGATTTGCAACTCGTGCTGTTGCAAAGACCTCGGGTCCCTCAGCATTCTGTGCAGAACCGTCGTCGCGTTTGGCCCCGAACTGTCGCTTTTGTCGCCTGGAACGTTACTCAAAAAACCGACCTGTGCAGTACACACTCGGCACGTGGGCGTCTGCAACTCCTGTGGAAAGTCGACTTTCTTGTAGTGCAAAAGCAAAAAAGTGGAGGCCTCCAGATGCGTTCCCTTGCGCCCTCCTTCTAGTTACACTCGTACATTTCGGGGTGTAAAGTCGTGAAGCTCTACCCACAAAAGTAATCCATAAGCAGGCCGCAAACAAGTTGCCTGCCTTGTACACATTCTTTGGCTGCTATATGGTACCGTACCATTCACATGCATCTTAAATGCTGCCTACCTGTGTTGGCAGCCCAAGTGCCCATTCAGCAAGTGATGCGCAACTCAAACCCAGGGCCAGAGGCCAGACATTTCATGGGATCGTTTAAGGGTTCTTCTGCTATTTCTGAGCACGAGGCAGGACCAGGTACCAGTGGCTCCACGGATTGCATCGCACTGTCACACAGCTTTTCCCATGCCTCCACACATTCGGGGACTTGAGAGTGCTGATGAAATGTATGCATCCGTATTGTTCCTACCCGTAACTGTAGTATCCTGTCTGACAACTCCTTCCCGGAACAAAGCTGAATGATCGTCGTCAACAGACATCATAGCAAGCCAAGCTGCCATGTCAGCAGACTTGTACTGGGATTGCACCCACGAGCTCCAGTTAAACACCAATTGGCGAGCCGCAAAGCGTGCGAAGTCGTCGCAGCCCTGTCTTGAGAGAATGCTGGCGGAACCACGTGCTACACCACAAAACGTTACGGAGCTGGGCTTAAACTCAAAATTTCAAATGGCCTGTGCGACAAAGCCCAGACAAACCAGCCCTTCCTGCATGAACGTTACCTGCTGCCTTCCACGTCCCCGTGAAGCATCAAACCCTACAACCGAAACCTGGCCCCGGAACATCGAGTGGTGAACTGACAAAGGAAAGCAATCCAATTGCTGAAAACAACCATCACACAGTGGGGCAAAGAGATGGGCAGATGGTTCTCAGACCGATGCTGACACAGAGGCCGGCGACTCTCACAGTCACGCAAGACAGGCAAGGCTTCAACGACACGAAGAGAGCACTTAAGGTGCAGGGTAAGAGTGTAAGAGTCAAGTTGAGCCAAGCCGCCATGGGCAAGTCAGGCCTCTTGCAGCCATTGTATGCCGAATAAGCGAAGCCTCACATGTTTTGGCACCTCGAGCTACTAGCCCTAAACCCTTTTGCCTTTGTGCAAGCCCAGGCGCTGATGTTTGCAAGATGGCGATGGGTCCCCTTCTTTGCATGTATCAGAATGGCAAGTTCCTGAGGATCCGATGAGTGCCGAAACAATGCAAAGGAAACCGGGGCGTTGCACTAAGCAACTACATGCAGCCGCAACAGCCATCAGCCGCTCATGCCAAGCCACCTTGGGAGTCGTGCCCTCATACGTGATGCCCGCCCGCCAGGAACCTCACAAGAGACAGCGGAATATAGCGGAATGCAGAGAATGCAAGGGCACATGCTTGCCCCGCATGGTACACAGTCACACTTGAGCTGCAGGGGAGAAGCCCAGCCAGTGACCAGTAGCTTCTGAAACGACCTGTCCTGACAATACGTAGCCACGTTCACGCCGGCGAGACTTGCCGTTCATTCGATAGCTCTAGTCTACTTAGCAAGCTTGACACTAGCAAGCTTCCCACTACTATCGAACGCCAAGGAAGGAACAAGAGCTTGGCACTCACCAAGAATTGCTCCCAATCCGCCTGCATCAATCTCGACAGCGAGGCCCCGCCAGTCTTGCGACTTTGGCCCCTGAATCAGCGGTGTCATTGCCGCCACTTCCGAAGGATCGCCCACTGAAATGGTGAGCGCCACTGAGGAAATCACATCAATCTGGGCATCCTGGGCGTGCGCGACTTCAAGGACACGGCTGCCCGTCTTATTGGCCCTAGTGCCTAGTGCGCCACGGTCATTGGCCTCAGAACTGGGTCACGCGCTTTTACCCCTGAGGGGACGCTTATGGTCACCCCCTCCTCTGGGCTCACAGGTGCGTAAGCCACTCCTGGGTTGCAAGCGCGGTAAGCGGATGCAATGGTCTTCAGTGCAAAAGGGGGATGGCCTGACAGCGCGTCACAGGGGAACAGCACGGTGGTGTTCCTGAAGTAGCCTTTGGGGCATACCGAAGAAGCCTCGGGGGGCATTGAGGTTTTTTCACATCTCTGCAAGAGGCAGGCAGGCCCTGTGGAAGGCTTGGGTGCCGGCACTTGGTGCATTGGCAGCACCCAGATGCCAGCAAGTCAAAAGAGACAGCGCACGAAAGCTCCCTGCAACCATGCTGACGGCAACAAGGCATGCCAAGGTCGATAACTTTGATCTAAAGTGAGCTGACAAGGTGTGCTCTCTCCACTGGCACTTCATGAACGTCGGCCCTTTGTGTAGTGCTGCAAGACGGTGTACTGGCTGAGTTGTGCGTCAGGCGAGTCATGATAGCCCATGGCGGTGATTAATGCTGCTTTTACATTTTACATGAGCAAGATGCAAGATAAGAACCAGCTGCAGCACCGTTCAAGCACGTTTGGGTTCCTAACGCTGCTGAAAGCTTCTACTGCCGAAAGGACGGCAAGGCGTCAAGGACTGCTGAGCATTGTGCGAGGGTGGCGACGCATTTTTTGCAAAGACTTGCGCTTTTTTCTGCAGATGTAAGGAAAGTTCTCCCGCAGTCCGTCATCTAACCTCCGCAGTTGAAGCCGTAGCCATGGCGGCCATCTTCAGTTCAGCCAGCTCCTGTCAGAGCTCATGACCCCACGTCAATCAGATTGGGCACAGGTTTTGCCCAGCAGCTAGTCGCCCTAAACCCTACACCCTAAACCTTAAACCCTAAACCCTAAACCCTTTAACCCTTTAAACCCTTAACCTTAAACCCTAAAGTGTCCTTCGAAGCCGCCGGCCTGAGCTGGGCAAGCGTGCCAACCGCATGCCTCAGAGCCTTCAGAAGGGAACCTTGCTCGTCATCTAAGGTCCCAGCATCTGTTTCAAGGCACTCTCCGCCGGCCCTCGCGTAAGCCGGGTGAGGATGTCCTGCCCCAGGGAGTCGAAGAGTCTACAGTCTACAGGCTTACCAGGGACCCTGATACAAGGTATATCAAGCTGGGATGGCTGATGGCTAAGGTGTCTGCTGCCACGTGTTTCTTGGTTTCCTTGGCTGCAAACCGATCCTGTCTCTCCAAGTGGAAAACTGCTCTGCTGGTCTACGACAAGATATGACAAGACTCTCGAGACAACTGGTCCGAGCTCCACATCGAAAGTGGAATCATTGAGGCTTCCAGGATGTCTACCTGCACGCTGACAGCAACTTCTTGGCATCGCAAGAAATGTGCAGAGCGACGGCCAAAACGACTCTGATTCATGGACACCGGGCAGTGCTTGTACATCAGCCACGGGCACGTCAATGTGAACAATTCTCGAGCTTCCAAGCTCTTCTGCAATCGCCTTCCACCTTCTGTGTGATCGTTTGCAGGTGCCGGGCTTTTCTGTGCTCCGATGCATTCACATCTTTGTGGTACACCCTTCCTTAACCTGTCAAACTTGCCGGCTGCGGTCACTTGCTGCTTGGGAATGCCCTTTCGCCCTCCACGGACGATGATGGCCGATGTCAAGATACACAGGCTTCTCGGCAAGCGCGCTGTGCAGCGGGTGAACTAGACCAAGAGGTACAAGGGTGGCCCTTCAGAAGCTGAAGATGACAACCGAAAGCTACAGCAAGCAACCTGGTTGGCACAACTGCAGAGCTGTTGCTGAGCAATGGCCTTCCCCACAATGTCGGCTAGGAGACTCGCCTCAGGCCCAACATACCAGACATGTCAGACATGCGCAAAGAGCCTTGCCGTAACAAGCTTGCGCAGAGCAGTCGGGAGGCAGGCTCCGCCGCGTGTTGGCAAAAATAGAGGCACACTTACTTACCCGCACATTTTTTGAGATTTTAAGCCCGAGGTCTTGACCATCTCAGAATCATCAGCCTGCCAAGGAGCTGGTGTCACCAGGTTTGGGCGGTTCGGGGGCCCAGGCTTGCGTAGGGTTTTGGCTTGCCTGAAAAGGCCCAAGCAACGGAACCCTGTTCTGACATGTCTGGGAAAACCCTCCACTGTCAGACCATGTCAAACCCGACCAATTATGCTTGGCATTCAGATTGTGACCCTGGACCCCTGGTGCCAATCGAACATCGACCAATTCAACGGATGGACCCTCCAAGCATTCAGTGCTGCAGGGGTGCATCTTGCAGTGACTCGCTGAGCAGCTTCATCAGCTCCAGGCGTGGCAAGGTGCGAAAGAGCCTGCCGATGAAAGCCAACAACCCCCCGGACCCCCACCTCAAGAAACCAGACACACACACACACACACACAGACACACACACACACACACACAGAGAGACACACACACACACACAGACACACACACACACACACACACACACACCCACCCACCCACCCACCCACCACCCCCCAAACCACCACCCCCCACCAACCCACACCCACCCACCCAACACCACGCACGCACGCACGCACGCACGCACGCACGCACCACGCACGCACGCACGCACGCACGCACGCACGCACGCACGCACGCACGCACGCACGCACGCACGCACGCACGCCCGCGCGCGCGCCCGCACGCACGCACGCACGCACGCACGCAAGCAAGCAAGCACGCACAGACACACCCACAGACACACACACGCGCACACACACACACACACACACACACACAGAGAGACACACACACACACACACACACAAACAAAGAAAAGGCATCACAAAATTCGAATTTCGGACTGGAGCAGCTGCAGGTCTGAGATTCAAGGCTTTCAAACGCGCAAGGAACTCTCAGTCACCGGCCACAAGTCAGCAAGCTGGTGAACCCTCCCAAAGAACTCAAGCCTGCCAAGCTGATCCATCATGTCGGCTGTGGAAGGGTTTAGGGTGTAGGGTTTAAGGGGCACAGCTGCATGCTGAAAAGTTGCATCTTTTCACGTCGCTGCTCAACCATAGCGACAGCAGCTTGCATTTCCTGAATCCTTGCTACGATCAGAGAGCAGTCCCGAAGGCCCCCAAAGAAAAAGGTTCCCGCATGTGTTGAGATGCACACGCACTGTCACATCCTGACTCCAAGGCTCTGTATCTCCATCCGCTGGACAGCGTCAATGTCTAAGAAATCATAAAGCACCTGCAGGTGCGTATAGTAACATTGCACAGCCTGAAGTTGCGCTGGTTCTGATGTCGCCAAACGATTGATTTGAGGTCCAGACAAAGGAGATGCATATCAATGAGACCTTGGTATCCCGATGTTCGGGCACGGCACGCCGACTCAAGCCGCAGTCTGCACAGCAATATACAGAGATATGCCTTCTTTCAGACATGTCTCGGTGATGGAGCCGACAAGTGCCCGCGAGTATTCCCTCACCGCGAGGATGCTCAGAATAAGCAAAGGAATCCCAGCCACCAGGCTCACCAGCAACCTTCGGCACCACTCTCGCGAACCGTGGTCGAGTGAAAAACAAGTGGCCCAGAGAATTCGTCCACTGGGCGGCAAAGCCATCAATCAAGATCAAGCAACACCAGTAGTGCTACGTCATGAAGACGCAAAGGCAAAAAAACAGTTGCGGCGAAACTTAAGCCAGTCAGGCCGTACCTTGCAACAGCCTGAGGATCAGGCTGAACATGCTCTGGTGAAAGCACCTTTGTGTTTCTTTGCACTGGAAGTATGAAGTAGGGTTTATATTTCTTGTACCCCCAAAATGACACCCAATATATACACAGGAACCTTAAATACACTCACCAATAACAGAAATACAAACCCTGCTTCACATGACACTTCCCCCCGGATTTCCAAGCCGAGGCAAATGGCTTCTGAGACAGCTGCTTGTACTGCAAGAGCATAAGACAGGGTCTCTATCTGCCCAGCGGCCGTGCAGGAAAACACGAAGCCACGGACTTGTATGGGATAAACGACGTCGTCTTCTTCTGGCGACTCGATGCCAAACCCACATCCTTGGATGCCGGATAACACTTCTCATTTCTGCGCATGCACGTGGCACCCTTCCACCAATGGCCACCGCAGGGGACGTGGAGGTTTACGATATTCTTGGATGCCTATTGGGGTCGATACTAGGGGTCCCTTACGATCGTAAACCCCCACATAGCAGTCAAGGAGCCGACTTCAAAGCGGAACCTTCACTCGCTGCACAGCACCACTGCTCTCTCACAAGTGTTGCAAGGGCAGGGCGAATGTACTTAGCCTGAACCCAAACCCTAAACCCTAAACCCTAAACCCTAATCCCTAAACCCCAGACCCTAGACCCTAAACCCTTACATACACCCGAAACCCGAAACCATAAATGCGTCGAGGATCCACTTCAGCTCCCGAGGCTCACCCTTGCCGTCGTATGACTCGGTTGCAGGCAGAAGCCGGAAACCACGCGTTGCCATGGGGGCCATGTGGGGGTGTGCGAAAATAAGGAGCCCCTACTTTTTGACCCCCAAATAGAAGCCCTCCCTTACAATGAGGAATGAAGACCCTAAAAAGGAACCCCCTAAGTTCGGAAATGCCCAGGTGATGAAAGAGGAACTTGCGCTCAAACTCCCAATGGTGCCTTCAACACCTTCAACATCTTTCAACATCAGACTCCCAAACTCGCCCAACTTTGTTGACTTCGGCTTACAGCCCCCACGTCTCAACTCGTCAGCTTGCAGAGGGGTAGTTCAATTCTGAGTGCTTGCCAGCTTGCGTAGCTTCCGAAGGAGCCCTGCTCTTCATCCCCGGTCTTCTTGTCCTTCTTGTGCTTGACCCAGCGTGCCAGGCCCGTCAACTTCAGAACCTGCGGGCCCACAGGTATGCTCTGAATTGCCAGTGTCAATCCCATGGCCTTTCTGGGCACATAGGTGACCTTCTTCCACTTCTGCCGCCTTCGATGCGAAGCACACCACGTGCACTGGGAGGCTTTGCAGCATGCACATATGTACTGGCAGGTCTGATGTCGGCAACAAGCTGCAGTACCGAGGCTTTCTTCTTTGCTTCCTAGGTGCACTGTTCAGCAGTGTCGGCATGCGCAGACCGGAAGCAGGAAACACGGTTGCAGCCAAGACTCCTCGACGTGGTGGCCGAGAAACTTCACTTCTGTTGTCTTCGCCCGATTCCCAACAAACTCCTGGGCGATGCGCAGCGTCCGTGTTTGGAGGTGCCTAAGCCGGTCTTGCTTCCCCGCTTCTGCTTTCACGATGCTGTAGCACTGTTGCGACCGTCTTCCTCTTGAGAGGGCCGGCGCACCTCGACCCAGCCTCCTCTTCTCAACTGCTGCGAGTACCCTGGCGAAAGGGTGCCGGTAGTTGCACAGCGAGGTCTGCTGGTCGGCGAACGCAGGCAACACACCCAGCAGCATGCGATCATTGACGCTACCGACGAAGGAGCCTCGAATTGCCTCAACCCAATCATGAAACACGTTAACGCGGAACGCTCCTGAAGTACAACTAACGCAAGGGTCCGGAGCCCAAATGTCCGTCCTAGCTCGTCGTTGCACGTCCATAATTTAAAGAACTATATTCGCACAAACCATCGGCTGGGAGTACTGTAACAGACAGCTGCCCAGTACAAGTAAGAAGCAACAACGTTGCGCAAACCGAGAGCAATAACCTTAGCCTCATAGAACAGCGACGAGGGCATCGGGGCAGTGTGATACCATGCAAGCGCACTTCGAAACCGCATACTACTCCTTACCCAGACATGATCAGGAAGGTGTGCGTGTATATACATGTACGTACATACATACATGCCTACATACGCATGGATATATATATATATATATATATATATATTCACATATATACATATATATATATATACATTCGTATGTATCGGGAGCTCGGTCAACCATTCCTTTTCCTCTGCACAGCAGGGGGGGGGGTCTACAAGTACGTGCGCTTATGCCGAGTCAAGGCAACAAGAGCTGCTGGAGCGCAGGGTGTCCGTGCCCAAACTACTAGTGCAGCCGAAGCTCTGCAACTTGAGCTGCTGTAGCGCATTGTTCATGCAGTTCTGCCTCTGTTGCCAGTCGGTAAGGCTCGTGAACAGGATCCACCGCACCTTGGGAGTAGCTCTGACTCTTGACACTGCAAGAACCCAAGGGAAGGACAACTGCTGTCTTGTAAACAACCTTCATGCTAGCTGGACAAAGTGTGTGTTCGATCACATTCGGCTCGGGCACATTCTTCGAACATCGCGAGGTACCGCCCAACGAAAGATATGAAACTCCTGAGAACGGAAAGGCTGAAACGTACATTGGCCCCTCCTCCCTGTCCATGTGAGACAATTCAGCGCGCAAGGCCAAGGCTCTCTTTCGAAATGCGCGTGGTTGATCCTGCGAGTCTCCGGGCCATGCCCTTCAGCAGGAAGCTGTAGAAGTCACGCCTTGATCGTCGCAAGTTTGAAGCCGTCGAGCGCAGTTTCTTTTGCCACAATCGGTGCGCGCTTTTGCCATCGCAACTAGCACTTTGCCAATGCAACTAGCACAGGCCTGTGAGAATCCAGGCCACGCTCGGCAAGTGAAGCCTGCCGCTTCATCCCCCACATTTGTCCAGACATGACTACATATGTATATATATATGTATATATATATATATGAATATATACATATATGTATATATGTATATATGTATATATATATATATACATATATGTACATATACATATACATATACATATATGTAGTGTATGTATTGTACATATTTTGGTATGCACACATAAATGGTGTCTGCACTATAACTATTATGTTATAGAGCATTCGTATTACATTGTACTGCAGTTGCACACGCGGCCTGCGTGTCGGCAGATTTGTTCAGCATGGAGTCCAAATCGGCGACGGTGTTGTTGAAGGTCTCTGACGCTTGGCTTCTGCCTTTCATGAGTGCATCCGCACAGAGTCAACTGAAGCTCTGCTTCAGAACGCGTTGTGTTGCCAAAACAGCCCAGGCACTGGCTTGTAGTTTGCTCGATTTCGTCTGCAAGTCAACACCTTCAGAGCTGCAAGACATCAGCAGCCATGTGCTGGACAAGCTTCCGCAAAACTTGATACTTTGTGCTCCTGCATCTCCAGCTCAAAACGATGATGTTGAATCAGGCCCCCCGCACCCCGCACTTAGCAAACAAAGATGAACTGCTTAGCTCGGCGGCCAGTCTTCATGCCTAACGAAGTACTGTCACCCTAGCGTTTCTCTCGCGCTCGCTCTCGCTCGCGCTCTTTCTATCTCTGTCTCTCTCTCTCTCTCTCTCTCTCTCTCTCTCTCCTTTCTACATATGTATATATATATATACATATATACGTGTATGTACGTCCTAGTATGTGTAGATATAATATGTGTGTAATTATGTATGCATATCTGCTCATGAACTGTCCATCTCGCGAGGTCTTGCGAACTGCAGGGCAGAATTGCCACCCCTCCAACAACCCCCCCCCCCCCCCCCCCCCCCCGATGCCCCGACTAGTATACCAAGTTCAACCAAGTTGGTACATACATTTTTCGCACGAAGCGATGTTGTTTTCGATCTTTCCTGAGCTGTCCTTCCTGAGACCTCATCCGACTAAGGCACTGTATTCCACCAAGTGCTTGAAGAAGTGCTGCAAGCAATACACACCATATGCAAAGCACAGCACCAGCACCTCAGTGTGCAAAACATTCTGGCGAGTGCACGCACACGGAGATCACATGCATTGTGTCAACATGTGTCAACACACCAGATGCCCCGTAATGTCAGCTTGGTCTCACAAATCTCGGCGTTGCTGTGCTGGATGTTGTACCAATTGCGATACTCCATCAATATCCGAACCAATAGCAGCAAGTCTGCACACGTCCCAACCAAAAGCACCAGATGTGGGACACTGTGGATAACACGCACGTACGTCGGAATATACCTTTGATGGCTGGAAAGCAGCACAAACACATGGGCACAACATGCACAACAAAAAACGCATCGTCCGCCAAGGCGCTTGTATTTTGAAGGGGCAAGATCCCTCAGCTGCTGCATGAGTGGCCGGTAAACTTTCGACGGCAAGCTCGTTTCTCCGACCATTTCCACTTTAAAGTTTTTTAAATTTTGTGAATTGCAAAGGTGTTAGCCGAGTAGCCCAATGAATCGGAAAGGCTCGAGTGGAAAGAGCCAGCTTCGCCGCTGACTTACTTCCACAGGCTGAGGGTTGGGTGGAGTGCCTCCGGTCGACCCGGCAGTGGCCTTGTCGTCCAAATGCCCTAATGCTGCCCAATTTTGGGGCTTATTGGGGTTATAGGGCTTATAAGGGGTTTTTGGGTTGTATGGGGCTTCATTAGGGGGCTGGATACCCTACTTCATGCTGAATCATCCCACACAACGCCATCGGATGTTGAAGCTAGGCCGTGCTCTGACACAACATGACTCGAGGCCGTGGCATTGTAAGAAGGCACCTCGTCCGTTGTAAGCTTCCTTGTCTTCAGCGCATCAAGCACAGGCAACGAACAGTTTTGATTCGCAGGTGGTGATTCAGCAACGCGCACAAGCAAGGCTGTGTGCCACCAAGTGTCTCTTGCTCCGCCATGCAGCGAACGCAAACTCAACCACGATTTCAGAAACAACGCTCTCCACGAGAAGTTTTCTTTCCGGAATGGACTTGGGTTTGAGCCACATCTGCCGCATACACACACAAGAACACACGTTGCTGCTGCCCACGTCTGCCGGTCCAAGGAACACATATCGAAACACATTCGAGCTACAATCATGCGCACCGGAACAAGCGACAAACATGTCCACAAGGCGTGCCATCTCATCCTACGCAAAGAACAACCCAAAAGAAACTTCGTACATTTCTCGATGTGCGCGTGTTATCCTTGCATATGCGTGCGTGCGTGCGTGCGTGCGTGCGTGCGTGCGTGTGTGCGTGTGTGCGTGTGGCCACTGTGGCCACTCCCGAACTGCACGAGGGAGGATTGTTGCATCATGCAGGGGCACACATGGCATCTTAAACCTACCGTGTGCAATGAAGCTACGGTTGCAGACGGGATATCCAGCCTGATCAGCTGGACATACCTGCGCAGTGTTACGTTACATCATGTATCATCTTCGCTGTGTATTGCTGAAACAATCGCTGTTGTCCACTAGCGTCCTCTAGCACTAGCACCTCGGTCTGAACTTAAGCAACTTGGCTTTCAGGATAAAGGCGGCTATCTCAGCATCGAACAACCGAAGAACACTCCACTGTGTGTGTGTGTGTGTGTGTGTGTGTGGGTGTGCCTGTGCGTGTGCGTGTCTGTGTGTGTGTGTGCGTCTGTAGTTGTCTATATTTATACATTTATACTTTCTAGAAAAGTTTCTTTTTTGATATATTAAATGTTGTATTTATATGTGTATACATACATATTATATATATATATATATGTATATATTTTCTGCGTGTTCGTATTTATATTCATATCTGTCTTCTGTCTCTCTCTCTCACGGTCTGCTGATGGAACCGGAGAGTGTGTTGGGGTCCATAACCGTCTTCCTCGATCCTAGGCCATTCTCTCTCTCTCTCTCTCTCGCTCCCTGTTCCTCCTCTTCTTCTTCTCCTCGAGGGGCTTGAGGGTGAGAGATGAAAATGTCCTCCCCCCGCCCTTTCACTTGGAGACAATAGCCCTCGTGATCAACGGAAGGAGCTACGACTCCACACCCCTCCCAGAGCCGCAAAGCCATGGGGTGCTTCGGCAACAAGCATTGACATTTGAGGCTTTTCTGCGCATCGTGGATGAATTCATTAGCTGCGAAACTTTTTTGCACCTTCGAATTTGGACTTCCTCCCTGGGTCACCCAACCGGCATCAGGCGGACGTTGCTCTCGGGAAACCCAGAACTTCCTACTCCAGGTCTCCCTCGTATCTCAGATCGAATAAGGCTGCAACTCATTGGCTGAATAAACCAAGACACCATTGGGCTTTGCAGTTTTTTTCCAGCTCTCTTTACAATGATTGCTACCACCTCTTTACTGTGTTTGTATTGACAGGAAAGTGATTCGCCCGCGTGAACTTGTGGCATGAACTCGCAGCGAAGCCATCATAAGCGCCAATGCCCGCCAGAAGTTCCGCATGTCAGAAGCTGCGACTCTGCCTGCGCGAGCACGATAGCTCCGGGGTCCTGGCCTTTCCCCTGCAGCAGCACCTCCTTAAGGACCCTTCATTCACCGACCCCCGCAAACCTGGTTTGGGCCGGGCTTGGCCCCCATGGCCTTACGTATTTAAGACAGGAACCCCGATGAGTCGGGACAAGCACTTTGGGGAGGAATTGGCAAAACGGCGCACCAACACAGCACGGCCTGGGCCAGCCTGCTCTCACCCCCATGGCAGCAAAAGGTTTATGGTTCAGGCTAGAAATCTTGGATCCTGCGTCGAATGGCCCGCAATGTGGAGAAGTCACCCAGGTTTTTGAATCAACATGCCATCAACTTCTCACTTTCGACTTCCTTGACAGACAGTTGTGCTAAGTTTCCTCACGCCTGGATACGCTACTTGGAAGTTTACGGTAATAAGGGACCCTCATATAGACCCCTAAATAATCAGGACCCCAAGAAGGTACCCCTAATATCGGAAGCCCCCACCTCAATGCGGCCTTTCATGTCGTCCGCCAAAGGTCGGACTTTTTTCCCGCCATGTCGAAGCGGCGCAGCTGTAGAGTCACTACTTCCCATTCCACCACAGCCTCGGGCTCACGACAGCTAAGAATAAAAACCTCTTCATCCTCGTCCTATGATGATACTCAAGATAAAACAGAGCTCATGCAACCACACCGCGTCCTTCCCATATCGTGCCAAGAGGCTTGAAGCGATCTGTGAGCCCTTGCCAGGACACCTGCAGCAACTAAGGGAGAATGACGCGGGTTTGCATGGCTTCTTGCTGCTACTCTAAGCTGTGGAATGGCTTGGAGGAAACAAGAAACTCGACTGTGGACACGGGGGAACTACTATTCCCCGGAGAGACACGGCACTGGAATGCCCTGAGAACGGGCGCACAAGCACTCATTCTTGCACCCTAAGTGATTCGGCTGGGCCCGGTTTGCTTGGAGAGCTCACCGAAAGCACGAAATGGTACGGAAACGATTTGCAGCAAGGAAACGGCCCAGAGCTTTAAGCCATTCTCAACAAGTGACCCCCCTGCAACTGCGGTGCTGGCAAGACTCCTCCGGCCGGGCGTCGATGTGTATGGACACTGCATGCGTTGGACTTTGTTGCCCATCCTCAAGGACTTGGAAGACATCGGCTTCTGCAGCTTCTGCATGCTGATCCCCACACTGCCGACTCAAGCTCTGCAATCAGGCTCAGGCGTAGAAGTCCACCACATATCCTCAAAGCAGGGCGTGTCGAAGCTCGAAGCAACATGCCCGGCACAAGCGCGCACGGCACGTCCACCCAAATTTCTGCGGAGATTCGAACGTGCTTGCCACACCGATCTACATGCCAGTCGTGGCGGTCAAACGGCAATGTCCGTCCAAAGAAGCTGGTCAGACGGGCCTTCGGCACCAAAGCATTCTGTACACATTACGTAGTATTCAAGCCGTATGATGTAGGAACACTACACTTCTGAGATATAGTATTACTACCGTCTTGAATATTATACTGATACAATACTGAAGGTTATAGTTCTAATATTATCGTGATATGACGCGATATTACCCTAAAACGGGAAGGGCGGCCTTGGGCGTGAGTTCTCCCGGCCGCCCGAGGAAGCGCAGGAGCTTCGGCTCCGCACACTCCTCCCAAGAGCAGAGCAGCAGCGCTCACTGTCACTTGCCCCCCACCACCCTCAAAAAAAAAAACTGCATCGAAAAGAAATAATAAATATAAAGATATATGATATACGTATATATATATATATACATATGTGTATATGTTGCATATACACATATATTTGAAAGAAAAACTGAAGGCTTCGGGCTCAGGGAGTCCTTAAAGTGCAAGCCCTCATACTTGAGGATCTCTTGCCAGGTCCGCTCGTTCACCGCGTTGTGAATTGCGATGACCATGCTCATGTCCTGGCCCAGGCTTCAGACATCTTCGGACCATGGGCCCAAGGGAGGCCACATGGCATCGTCTTATGTTATTATGTTCCTTAAAAGCATCTTCATATTCATTGTTATTCTGTTCCTTAAAAGCATCTTAATATATTATGATTAGTATCATCCCGTTGCTAGGCAAAGTCAAAGAAAGTGCCCCTCAATACATTGACTGAGGCGCGACACGGACAAAGATTGGAAGGAATTGTTTTAAAATTATTATTGTTGCTATTATTATTAGTCAGTCTTTTAATGAGTCATATTACTCTGATGCTCTCTATCACCGCTCAAAGGCTGTGAAAGGCTCCTGTGGGTCGAGCGTGTGGCCCTTCGCCGTTGCGGAAGCGAAGAACTGCTTCTCGGAAGGGTACATGAAGGGCCTGAAGAAGCAGGGTTCAGGGTTCAGGGTTTAGGGTTTAGGTTTAGAGGTCTCCTGTACTTGTTGAAATCATCATGGCTGCTGAGGTGTCGGACGACCCATCGGCGGAAGGTATGGTGGACCTGCCGTACTCTGCCGTTCGTGCAAGCTGGAGACCATCGGCATTTGGGATGGGTGCGGGAAGACTTCTTTCGCTTCACTGTGCAAATTGCAATTGAGGAGCACTTCCCGCTCACTACTGAGCCCACGCGACTTCTGGGAAGCCTGACAGCGCTGAGTACGATTCAGGTACAGTGAAGAGCTTGCCTCACTAGTTGCGGCCATGTGCCTGAGCTGCAGAGGTTGAGGCTGCCACAGACGACTGGCCAGAAGCACCGCCTTGTGCCTCACCACCTTTTGGCAAAAAAAGACCAACTCGTGCATTAACACAGCGTGGGACTAGATTCGCCTCGGCTTCCTGCCGAGAAGCGTCTGGAACAAGCAGACCCGGATCGGGCCTCCTTCCCCCTAACCCAACACTTCCCCCCATGCAAAATTCCTCCCCCCTCCCCCATCCCCCCCCTCCCCCCCCCTCCCCCCTCACCCCCCCCCCCCCCTTTAACCCCGCTGCCCTTCCTCCCCGCTGCCCTTCCTCCCCTTTTTTTGCGAAACCCTCTTTCCTCCTTTCCTGTCCTGGGGCCGGCCCGGCTGCCGAGGCGGCGCGCGCAAGCGTTTACAATTACGATGCCATACTCACCTGCTGAGCTCTAGGGGAAGTGAAGCGAGGGACACGAAAACCACCCAATTTTTTTGTCACTTCCGCGATACTGTACACTAGCACTAGCTCTGCAGATGTCGCCTGGCGCTGATGGTGGAGGTGTCGTTGGAGGCTTCGTCCTAGCTTCGGAAGGCTCAAGAGGTGTTGATATGGTCGAAGCACTCAGGGGGACTCGCGGCTAAGCGCAGCGCCCACCGAGTCCGAGAGGGCAGCTGGACGCGGCCATGGCCGCGTGAATTGAAGACTGAGGCAGAGCTGCCTCAATTTGCTGTATTTCGCAGCAGTGTGCTGTAGACGAAATTCCTGGCCATCCATTTTATCATGTCTTTGCATCAGGAATGTCAAGCTTCGTGTTGCACACTGGCTAAGCAGAGAAAAAAAGCCTCCAGCTCAAGCAAATTATCGTTTGGCGCACAAGTACCACCTGCAGCGACCGCAACCTATTGCTGACCAAAGGCATTCTGGTGGGCAGGGGACACAAGGCAAGTGCGATGTTCCTTTCTTCGCGAGTGCCTTCCCTTAGTGACGGTCCTGCAACTTGGCCACTGAAGATTTGTTTAAATCCAGGCAAGGTACTGCTGCAGCGAAAGAAGCTACATGAGACCTTGTCCAAGAAGCCAGCTGCCCAAGACCACTCTTGAAATGTCACTCCTCGTTGCTTTACCGCGGGGAGTCTGCAGCATCGGCTCTACCTTGCATGTTGTCGACCTCCGTCTGCCGATCGTCTGCTTCTGCAGTATTTGCTGTCCGGGAACTGCTGCAACAGCAGCGCCGACAGAAGCTTCTTCCGAAGCAGCAGCAGGCGGACAGCGCGACACGCAAGAAGCAGATCAGCAGGATGTGCACCAAGGCAAAGTGTCCCAGCAAGAGCAGCACGTCACTTTCTTGAGTTGATACAGAGTAATGCCGATCAGCTGGCCTTGATTCTTCAAACCTTTCAAGCAAAGGTACCACGCTGTAGGTCAGAATATGGCCTGTTCCGACTTGCGCCATGTCGATGTAGCTCCAAGCATGGCTCCGATTGATGCCAACCGATCCCCAAGCTGCCAAGATGGCCTCTGAGGCGTTCTGCAGCGGCTCTGGCAGCTTCACGTGTCCCGCATGTTCGACCAGGCTCTGAACTGCCTGAGTTCTCAAATCGACGACTGCGCTTGGGACACTGCTAGCCGCTGCATTCACCAGAAGCTCCAGAACTGCTTGTGCCAAGGATATGGTGGATGAAAGCGACTCCCTTGCAGCCTCCAAGGTAACCAGGGGTGGGACCATGCCTTGATCGACACGCTGAAGCCATTGCTGAGTGGAGCGAGAGCCAAGCCGGACTGTCCAATCAGTCACGCCCTCCTGGTGCAGACGCTGTGCGTTTCGCAGCAGCCATGCAGACACTTCCGCTGTGGCGGTTTCCACGCTGGTGGTGTCCAAGTCCCTAAGACCCCTGGGCCATCGCAAAAGGTTACATGCCCCTGGGTGGGACACCTCCGCAACATAGCAACATGTCCTCACTTCCGCAACACGGCGCAGCTCCACCGTCTCCCCGCAAACAAACTCAACAGCTACAGCTCGCGCCACGTGCCCGCAGGAAGCCCCTCCCGCAAAGACGAGGGTGTTCTCCGACGGCTCGAAGAAGAGTTCCCGGAGGCCAAATCGCTTCGGATCACTGCCGGGCAGCATGAAGCCGGCTGGTCGGCCCAAAACGATGGGTTCTGATGCTGCGGCTTGGGCTTCGGAGCATTTCCCAGACTCATCGCACATGGCGGCCGCGTCCACGTCCGACTTCAGCTCCGCTTGCGTGGCGTTCCGGTAGAAGCAGATGCTGTACAGAAAGGTACGCCATTGCTCGCGCAGTGCCGTGGTCCCAACGTATTGGGTTTGTGTCAGAGCCAAGCACACCTCGAATCAGGGACCCGAAAAAGTGTAGGATCCTTCTTGATGAAAACCCCACGAACCTCTACAAAATCCGACGAGACCCCCACCAAGGCCCACCTCATGCAGGTCGTGGTAAACTCCACCAGGACCCAGCTGGCCGGATTCGACCAAGTTCATCATGTGAGCATCGGACTCGGCTTCGGAAAGGGCCTCTTGCGGCTCGAGGGCTTGATATAAGAAGTCCAGGGGCTTTCGGGCTGTTAGGATGTTCAGGGTTCTCGGATTGAGGGCTTCAAGTAGGGTCTAGGGTTTAGGGTTTAGGGTTTAGGGTTTGGGGTTTGGGGTTTAGGGTTTAGGGTCTAGGGTTTAGGGTTTAGGGTTTAGGGTTTAGGGTTTAGGGTTTAGGGTTTAGGGTTTAGGGATGGCAGCCTCCATAGTCTCGGCTGCCTTGCGCTGTATTCGTTGAAGTCTCTGCCGAAGCTCCAGCCACTTGAAGTCAAGCTGTGTCCACTTCTCACTAGGGAGTACGTGTTCTATAGCAGATGCTTCCAGGGCGCCTGCCTGGGCCCTGCCATAAGCGGCCATCATTTTTTCATACTTCAATGCATCCGGGTTGTATGCAAAGAACGTCCACGGCTCACCCGCACCACCAGCGTCCAACGCGCAGGTCCCGTTGAATCGTCGGGAGTCGCTGCACAGGTACGCACACACATATGGGCACTCTGCTGCAGCTATGCAAGAGACATTTGCCGGAAAATCTTCGTGGCTGGAGTCCCCGGCGAAACATCGCAACGTTACTCGCCCAGGGCCGTCAGCAATCTCAGAAAGATTCAGCGGCTTTCCCTTTTTCCCACTCTGTTTCTCTTTCTGGCTCTTTTTTGTAACTTCCGTTAACTTCTCTTTCACCTTTTGCGTCGCTTCCAAGAAAGGTGCAGCAGCCGCTTTGGCGCTCTTCAGCATCTGCTTTGTCAATGTGACCTTCTCAGAAAGCACTCGCAAGACCTCTTCTTTCAAGGCCGTTCCTCGTCGCTCGAGGGCCAACATACTCGCAATTTTCGAGGACATGTTGGACAGCTCCTGCTGGCAGGTGTTGCTGCACACCATCATGGTCTCGTCAGACCCATCGCAGCAATCACAAACTCCATCGTTGACAAAGGAGCTGTCGATCACTCGTGGAAGGCCACCCAAATTCACACATGAGAAGCTGTTGTGCGGGCAGGCCGCTGTAAGATTCTCATCCGAGCCATCAAAGCAGTCGCAGTAGTCGTCGTTGATCGCAAAGTCTGGAAATTGTGCCTGCACGTGTGCCGCATCTGTCCAGCTGCGAGTCTCACAAGAAAATCCAACGTGGCCATTGCTACCTCCTTGCATGGCCCCGGGGCCTGGTTGCTGCATGAGAAGTTTCCCCGTTGTGCCCGACAGTGGGTGCTATTCGCTATCACCAAACCATTGCAGTCACAGGAACTGGACTGTTTACTGGTTGACAAGATATGCGACCCGCTTCACTCTGAGCAGTCAATGCCTGTGCTTGGTCTATGCTTGTCTGAGACTGAACCCACATGGACAAATGCTCCCGGCAAAAATCTGATAGAAGCCACGAAACCGAATGCAGATACGTATCACGTACACGGCAACCAAAAAAGACTTGGCGCGCGACACGAGATCCGAACTGAAGTGTGTTATCCGTCTCTCTCGCTCTCTCTCTCTCTCAATCTCTTCTCTCCCTCTTCTCTTGTATCTTTGGTCTTTGCGCTCTCTCATCTTATCTTCTTCCTCTCTCTGTCTCACGCTCAGACATTCATGCATTCAATCCACCAATCAATCAATCAATCACTCCTTCATTCAGTCATTCAGTCATTCAGTTCATTCAGTTCATTCAGTTCATTCAGTTCATTCAGTTCATTCAGTTCATTCAGTTCATTCAGCTCATTCAGTTCATTCAGTTCATTCAGTTCATTCAGTTCATTCAGTTCATTCCTTTCATTCCTTTCATTCCTTTCATTCCTTTCATTCCTTTCATTCCTTTCATTCCTTTCATTCCTTTCATTCCTTTCATTCCTTTCATTCCTTTCATTCCTTTCATTCATTAATCACCCATTTCATCCATTTCATTCATGTCATTCATTTCATTCATTTCATTCATTTCATTCATTTCATTCATTTCATTCATTTCATTCATTTCATTCATTTCATTCATTTCATTCATTTCATTCATTTCATTCATTTCATTCATTTCATTCATTTCATTCATTTCATTCATTTCATTCATTTCATTCATTTCATTCATTTCATTCATTTCATTCATTTCATTCATTTCATTCATTTCATTCATTTCATTCATTTCATTCATTTCATTCATTTCATTCATTTCATTCATTTCATTCATTTCATTATGTTCATTTCATTCATTTCATTCATTTCGTTCATTCGTTCATTTCATTCCTTTCATTCCTTTCATTCCTTTCATTCCTTTCATTCATTTCATTCATTTCATTCATTTCATTCATTTCATTCATTTCATTCATTTCATTCATTTCATTCATTTCATTTATTTCATTTCGTTTCATTTCGTTTCATTTCGTTTCATTTCATTCATTTCATTTCAGCCATTTCGGTTTAATTTCATTCATTTTCATTTCACTTCATTTCATTTCATTTCATGCAATTCATGCAATTCATTTCATTTCATTCATTTCATTCATTTCATTCATTTCACTCATTTCATTCATTTCACTCATTTCATTCATTTCATTCATTTCATTCATTTCATTCATTTCATTCATTTCATTCATTTCATTCATTTCATTCATTTCATTCATTTCATTCATTTCATTCATTTCATTCATTTCATTCATTTCATTCATTTCATTCATTTCATGCATTTCATGCATTTCATGCATTTCAGTCATTTCCGTCATTTCAATCATTTCAGTCATTTTCATGTCATTTCATTTCGTTTCATTTCATTGATTTCATTCATTTCATCCATTTCATTTCGTTTCATTTCGTTTCATTTCGTTTCATTTCGTTTCATTTCGTTTCATTTCGTTTCGTTTCATCTCGTTTCATCTCGTTTCATCTCATTTCATCTTATTTATTTCATTTCATTTCATTTCATTTCATTTCATGTCATTTCAATTCTTCTCATTTCATTTCATTTCGTTCATTTCGTTCATTTCGTTCAGCTCGTTCAGCTCGTTCAGCTCGTTCATTCCGTTCATTCCATTCATTCCATTCATTCCATTCATCCCATTCATCCCATTCATCCCATTCATTCCATTCATTCCATTCATTCCATTCATTCCATTCATTCCATTCATTCCATTCATTCCATTCATTCCATTCATTCCATTCATTCCATTCATTCCATTCATTCCATTCATTCCATGAGGTCAGAAAGATGCGTCTCGCACGCGCGCTCGTCGCACGCTCCGGCAGCTCGGCGTTGCCATCCCTGTAGGGCATCACTTGGCTCGAAAGCGCAGCCGCGCGCTGGCGAGGCGGCTGAGGCGTCAAAGAGGGAGGCCCACGTGGCACGAAGGGCATCGCAGCGGCCGCCGCGGGCAAGGGCACATGGCTGCGCAAGGCATGGAGCAGCCGGTCTGCAGCTACCGGCGCTCGGGCGTGGATAACAGGCAGCGTGTCACACCAGGAGGCCCAATGGGCAACTTGGCGGGCAGCAACGGCGGAGCGCAGACCAAGCCCCTCATCTTTCCGCTCTCTCTGCCGTCGACACCGCATTGACACTACCCACACGACGGCACCACGATCACCGCACTGACAACACAACCAACTATACGTGTCAGCTTGCCCAGCAGGCCTTGCGCGCGAAAAGGCTCCACTTTCACCTGTAACAAAACACGTGGCTTCAATCCCAGGAGCACGCCGCGCAATCGAATCCGTGCATTGCTGCCAGGAACATTCGGCGACAACTTGGAACCTCCAGGCACTCTGTCCCGCGCTGCATGCGTTCTGCGTCGCCCGAGTGCAATTACATTGAGGGTGAAGCTTGCTTGGAGGCCTGGCGTTGTCACTTTCGCGATGTCCCGGCTTCCGCCGTGCCAGGCCCTCGCGAGAGCGGGGTTGATGCCCAAGATCTGGCACCTCGTCTCCGTCGGTTGCGTGAACAGATGGCTTGTACGACCGGCCGGTTGGATTATCCGTTCTCTGAACCCGAACTTGTGCCAGTTGTTCAAGAACTGCCCTTGAAGAAAGCGCCGGGTCCCGACGGCTTGACATATGAGGCCTTTAAGGTTGATGACGGCATTCTTCGTTCGGCGTTATTGTCTTTTTTTGAGCTCGTTCGGTTCTGGGCTGTTGTCCCCTCGGTGTGGCGGACTGCTATTGTCAAGCCCTTGCATAAAACCGGTTCGGCCGAGGAATTCACAAATTATCGACCCATAAGTTTGTTGTGTTGCGCATTAAAAATTTTCGAGAGATTGTTGTTAAAGCGCCTGTTGCCACATGTCAGCCCGCAAATTGATGAAAGTCAGGCAGGCTTCCGCTGGGGTGCTGAAAAACACGTTTACACTCTTGCTGAATGTCTACGCCTCAGGGCCCGCAAGCGCACGTTCTGCGCCTTCGTCGATGTGCGTGAAGCGTTTGATGTCGCTTGGAGGGATGCGGTCAAGGTTAGGTTAGCTGATTTGGGTGTCACAGGCTCCACTTGGAAAGTGTTGGACGATCTTCTGACTGACACGTCCGCGCATGTTGCGGTGAATGGATCCATGTCTCAGCCCTGGTCGGAAACCGCTGGCGTCCGTCAAGGCAGTGTTTTGGGCCCACTCCTTTTCAACATCTTGTTTGACAGCATTTCCGCAGCTGTCCGTGCCGCGTGCCCTGGTGTTGCCCTCGGCGGCAGCGGCTCGCTCAGGCTCACGCTGCTGCTTTACGCTGATGACTTGGTTGTGTTCGCTGAGAACCCTCGAGATTTGCAGCGGGCCCTGGATGCCATTGAAGCTTGGGGATGAAGTTGGAGATTCTCTTTTGGCATAGGGCCTGAGAAAACTGCTGTTCTTGTTGTGGGTTGTAGGGCGCCCAATTTTCACTTCCGCCTGCAAGGCGCTGACGTGCCAGTGGTTTCAGAGTACTGTTACCTTGGTGTTTTGTTTCAATCGTCGAGGGCATGGTTAAAGCATGGCCGTCGGGTTTATGAAAAGAGTAACCGCAAATTTCATCAATTCCTCGCCTGGGCCGAGAATCGTCAGTTGCCCACCGGGTTTCGCCGCAATTTGTTTCAATCATACGTTCTCCCGTCGATGCTCTACGGCTCCCAATTTCTGAGTGCTGCTTCCATTTCATTTTGGGATACCAAGCTGCGGCCATGGGGTCGTCGTCTGTTGCAGTGGCCTGCCGGGGCTCCAGGTGCAGCTGTGCTGGGCGAATTGGGCTGGGTTCTTTTGCCTTTGAAGTTTTCAGGGCTCAGTTCGGTTGTTTGTTTGGGCGCCTGTCCTCTGTGCATCCTGATGGTGCTCATCGAGGTCTGGCTGCTCGTGTATTTCGCTATGCCCTAGGGCGGCAGAGTTCTTGGGCCCAGCAGGTGTCCACTAGTTTGTGCGAGAACGGTATTGACATGCCACATTTGTGGGGGGTGTCGCCGGGCTGCAGCCCGCGCGCTCTTGCTGTGTGGCAACGTCGCTGCATGCGCCCCGCCTTGCATAGGAATGCAGTGGCGCCTGCCGTAATGAAGTTGCGGCTATGCCTTCGCTCCGCTCGTTTGACCTTTTGCTCATATGTCCACAACTCTCGCTTGCAATCATCAGTTGTGCGTGAGTGGTCATTAGCACGTTGTGCTCGTCATCGGTCTCAGAATTTGCCGTGCCTATGCGGCGATGACGACTGGAGCTTTCTTCACGCAACGTGCGTTTGCCCGATTTTCGCATCCTGGAGGGATGTGTGGCTGCGGCGCTGTGAAGCGGCAGGTGTGCATGGAGTTGAGCAGTTTGCTGACGCTGCCTTCTGGCAGCTGCTCTTTACGCCGCATGACCGGCGCAACTCCATTAGTCTCATGTCTGCCCACTTGAGCTTTGTGGCAGCCGTGTGTCAAGCCCAGCGTTCCCTGCTGGACGGTCTGAGCGTGTAATTCTGAATGCTGTTAGTTTGAGTTATGTTTCGTTGTACATCGCGATCTGTACATTTGTTTCACTTGGTAGTTAGTCGCTGACCGCTGGACGGTTGCTTGAGGACTCGTGCTGCTTGACCAGCAGAAAAAGGTGCGAGTGAAAAAAAAATCGGTGTCTAGTTTTCTCAACGATGCCGTTGGCGGACGCCGTTCACAAGGGTGAGAAACAAAAAAAGGCCAACAGTACCGGTGACGTTGCCGCCACATCGCGTGCGTGGAAGTTGTTCCTGCTGGCGCCGCGGATGCTGTTGGCCCGCACCGCGCAACAAGGTGC